TCGTACATCGGCGGTCGATCGCCCAACTCTTGGTAATACCACATCGCGGCGTCGACGGGCGGGAGATCGTCGGGAAAGAAGCCGGAGCCGGAAGGATTCATGTTGAAAATTGGGAGGGGGGGTTTGAATTTTGAAATTTAAAAATAAGAAAGAGGAAGAGATTGAAGAGAAGGTGTGAGAGATTGGTTGGGGGGTTGAATTTATAGGAATTTTTTTTTTTTTGAAATGTGGGCTGCAACGGCTTTTTTAGCTGTTAGGAGGGAGCCGCGCAAGAGTCACGCCGCGTCAAACGAATGACGCAGGCGCCCTTACGCCCGTTTCACGCCGGCGGGGGGCAGTGTTTCACGCCCCCGGGGCGTTAAACGCCCCGTAACGCCGGTGGGCGTGAGGGGTATTACCAGTGTTCTTAGGTTTGAATTTCAAGCTAAATGATGAAAGAATTGGAAGAAGGGTGCTTCTAGAATACCACTTTTTGTAAATTTCTCGTATAATTTTTTTAGTTTTATTTAAGGAATTAGGGCCAAATAGCTTTCATGCCCCTTGTAGTTTGGAAAATTGGCACCAATACTCCCTTTGTTTTCAAAACTTATTTCTAAAATATTCGTGGTTTCAAAACGTTGCACCCACACCCCCTCCGATCATTTTCTGGCCATTTTCCGGCGAAGAGGGGGCATTGACGCATAATTTCTAAACCACGGGGGGCATTCATGCTCATTTCTTATTTTCGTTTATTATTCTTCCCTTTTTTAAAATATCTTCTATCTCTTTTTCCTTTTCCTAGATTTTTTAAAAAATATATTTTCAATTTTTTATAATGTTTCAAAAATTTTAAAATTTGTGTTTGAAATAAAAATAAAAATAAAAAAATTAACATACATTAAATCTATATCAAATTAAACATTTTCACCTTCTGTTACTTAGAATAAGTTTTTAAAAATTTCAAAAAAAACCCAGAATAAAAAAATAAAAATATGGAAAAACAAAATGAAAAAAATTAAAATATGCAAAAGAAGTCTTATACAAAAAAATTAGACACGCCTAAAAAAGTACTTAGAATTAAAATGTCCAAAAAGGATATTCATTTTTATTTTTGTATTATTTTGTTTCTTATTTTATTCCTCATTTCTTGAAATCTCAAAAAAAATTTACTTTTTTTCAGAAAAAACAAAAATTGATAATTTGAGACGTACATATGCATTATATCTTAATTTTTTCTAACAAAAGTAACTTTAAATTTTAAGAAACATTATAAAAAAATCTTTATTAATAAATGAAATAAAAAAGGAAAAAATGGAAAAAATGGAAAAAACAAAAAATATGCAAGAAACAAAAATCAGCACTGATACCCCCTATGGTTTAAAAAACATGCACCAATACCCCCCTTCTCGTCGGAAAAATGGCCGGAAAATGATCAGAGGGGGCACGGGTGCAGCATTTTGAAACCATAGGGACTTTAAAAATGAGTTTTGAAAACAGAGGGGGTATTGGTGCTTGTTTTGCAAACCACGAGGGGTACCGGCGCTATTTGGCCAAGGAATTAGTCCCCGCGTCTCACTAAGATCTTCTCGTTTTGATTTTTTGTGATTTTTAAGGAGAGTTAGAAAAAAGTGAAAGATACCATAATACCCTTAATGAAAATGAGTGGAGTGTATTAAATGAGGTGGATGAGGTGTAATAAATAAAGTAGGTGAGAGTGGTTGTAGTATTTTAATAGTTAAAAAAGGTAATGAAAAGATATATGATTGACAAAAAAAAGGATTAATGTAAAGATTTATGGGGACGAAGGGAATACTTATTTTCCTCGTATGTAAACTTTAGGTTCACCATAGAGTTAAGAAATTGAGAAAAGTCGAAAAACCTAGAAGGGATGGAGGATATACAAGTTAGAAAATATTACTAGGAAATATGATAAAACTAGGAGTCAAGCATGAAAAAATATCAAAATATAAGTTCTATGTTTTTAATTCTAAAATGTGATCGAGTAGAATACCAAAATTGCCAATAATGCTAACATACGGTACCAAAAAAATACAGTGGGATGATATACAATGCTATAATATCTCAGTGCAAACTCTTATTTTGGAGATAAAAACATTGAACTCCTATTCTGAGCATAAATGCTGAGTTTTAATATATTTGGGCTAATTTCTTAAAATGTCGGAAGTTAACTTTTTAAACTCAAAAGAACAGGCCCTAAATAGATACTTCCTCTGTCCTAATTTCTTCTTTTTTATTTGAAAGAATGTCTAAAATTTCATCTTTTTAAAAAATATTTTATTTATAGTTTAGTACTCTTTGGTCCCAAATTAATCGTCTTTATTATTATTTTTGGGCTGTTCCAAATGAATCTTTCTTTTTTTGAAAAGTTATTTGTGGCCCACATTTTTTCTCTCTCATTTTGTCACTTTCAATTATACTATTTTACTTTTTTAAGACTTCGTGCAAAGTCAAATAGAAGGATTAATTTGAGGTGAAAGGAGTATAAAAATAAAAAGTACGAATAAAATTGTTTCAAACTATATCAACATTTCTACAAAAAGTGGCAAGAGTATTTATTTTTTCAAATAATCAATATATAGAAATATGCATATAGATTTAAATCATTGGGACATAATAGAAATTGGAAAGATTATTTTGAGACTAGAGTATTTAAATAATTGTTTAAGAAATAATTTTCAATGATGTTCCAATTACGGGTTCTGAGAGTTAATTAATGACTGTCCCTTCTTTTAAGCGAGGCAAATATTTTGATACACTTCTCCATGAAATAGTGACTTGATTTAACAAAAAAGGTTCACTTGTAAGCCCATAAAAACTATGAAAAGATCTATATTTTTCGTGTGGACCTAGAACCATAGAAACACAACTCTAAAATGAAAGATAAATAAAAAGTGTAAAGAATCATAAGGAATAAATTAAAATGGAAGATTATATTTAACAATTGGTCTATTATAACAAGAAGTTTTTCATATTTAGGTCATGTTCTCCCCTACGTATTTTATTTACTTATTACTCATTATTATTGGAATCAGATTAGATTAAACTAGATCGGATCATATAACACTAGATCAGATCAGAAATAACTTTAAATATAACTTCATTTAAATCATATCAAAACCAATCAGATCAGGTAAAGAGAACATAGTACCAGTCTTCTAGCTACTATCAAATATTACACCTCACTTTTGTTGACAACAAAAAATAATGTCATAACCACCTCCAATATCCGCATTCAACTTCCGATGGCAAAAAAACTGCGTAAAACTCTTTGAAACCTCCGGTTTATGCCCTCCTTTCACGAATGTTGCGGATCTAATGCCCCGCTCGGATTTTTCAAAAATTCTACACATATATATATTTCCACAATCGCCAATTCCAATCTCAATTTCAGCAAAAATGTCTCCAAATTGGATCCCTCTCAACCTTGCCAGGCATCGAGACATGAAACTTAGACTTCTACGTCATTATGATCTCAAAACAACATTTCAAGGGCACGAAGCTATTTTTCAAGATCACCAGGTT